AATAATTGGAAACGTCTGTAGGGAAGATTCCCTTCTCCTGATTGCCTGAGCAGATTCCCAATAATGCCTCTAATTTGCCTCCTGGCAGGAACTGCAGGCTTAGTAGTGGTGGAAGGCTGCCGGGGGTTTCATTCCATGAGGGAGCCAAATTTGAGGTTGATCCTGTGCTGCTTTCACAGGTTGATTGCAGCCTATATTCTGGTGGCATTAGCAAAGATGGAACATCCTGGGTAGCTTGCCCAAGGGACCTGAAACCAGTCTGTGGCACTGATGGCAACACATACAGCAATGAGTGTGGGATCTGCCTCTACAACAAGTGAGTATTGCTGGGAATCTCACAGAAGCCTAAGGGTGAGGGGCTCCAGGTAAGGTGGCAGCTTCGTTCCCCAAAGATGATCTGGGCAGAGGAGCCTGTGTGTTAGCAGCTGGGTGCAGACACCACCAGCCTCAAGGCAATGCTGCTCTGTGGTCCCTGACACAGGTCTGCTTTCTTTTTAGGGAACAGAGGGCCAGCGTGGGGAAGGAACATGATGGAGAATGCGAGCCAAAGTCTGTCGTGGTAAGACAAAGTCCATGGAAGACTTCAGTTGGCTGTAATGGAGACAGTTCAAATACTACACAAAAGTAGAATATGCACAACTGGCCTATGCAGCCCAAAGTGAATTAAAATCTGATGATAACCATAGCTGAGAAGGGTTTTATGGGCTCTCTCCAGTACTGTGTCTCTCTGCTTTTCTAATTCAGACTTCCAGCCTCTGTAATTGGGAATGAACTGGAAATATTATGTTGGCTAAGGTTGGATCTCACCACCTGGATAGCTCCAGCAGGATCTTATGAAGGACCTCACAAAACCCAAATCACAGTCCTCCTTGCTATACCTTTTTTTTTTTCAAGAGGAGAGAATTCCCACAGAATTGACTCTGGTTTCTGCTTCTGATAATGGTATTAGTCTGATGCTGGATTTGTCCCCAAAGGCTGAGGGAAAGTGAACAGACTATGTAGGAGTGTTACATCTTCATATCAAAAAATGTGTTTTGCTTTTTTCTCTCTATTCCTGCTATTTTTACAGATCGATTGCAGTAATTACCCAAAAGCTGTACTAGATGATCATGTCCTGGTAGCATGCCCAAGGATAATGAGACCAGTGTGTGGCTCAGATAGCTTCACTTATGACAACGAATGCGGGATCTGTGCCTATAATACGTAAGTCTTGTGCATGGAATGTCCTTCTGGATAATTAGTGAGTTAGGGCTCTCAGAAGCACTTCTATAAAATACTCGTCTTAAGACAGGTGTCCCTGTAGGTCTCTCTGCACTGGCTGCTTGTAATTCTTCAGCCAACTTGAGTTTTCTTCCCCATTTTTTGTCTGTGCTCATGAGGAGAATCACAAAAGACCCAGAACAGAGCCATGAACAGATGAAAGTGTTTCTTGTAACACTTAATTACTCCTAACACTTAATTCCCGTGGGATATGGAAATAGTGTGCATTTGTTGCTACCATCTGCCAGGTGCATTCAGACAAGTCAAGCAGTTGTAGTATCCCACAAACTGGGTGGGACCTTCCTTTGTTGTTCCAGTGCCTAGAGTAAATGGGGAAAGTTATTCTCATGCTTCCTAACCTAAGCTTTTCTTTCTTTCAGAGAACACGGCACCAATGTTACCAAAATACATGACGGAGCATGCAAGGAGTCTTTTGTTGTAAGTTCAAAAGAAGTAAAAAATCCATCTCTTAGGGTTCTTGGTAGAATCCTGAGGACCCCACAGAATTCCCTAGGAAACTGTGAGAGGCTCATAGGACAGGACTTACAAGAATCCCTGTCCATGCTTTGCATTTCTGCACGGTGAGGGTGGATTTTGCATCCTCCCTGCACCAAAGAGGTCACCCCATGTGTACCACACCAAACTGAGCAAGGAGAGGGATATGGAATGAGGAGCTGCAGTGAGTCAGTGCTTCAGAACTCACTTGCCATGTGTTAAGCTGGCTTGTGTGACCAGGGGAAGGGGTGGAGTGGGGGGCAAGATTTCACTTGCCAACATGCTGTGCGGGTTGGCAGTTTTCTCTCTGGAGATCATGAGCATTTCCACCCTCAGCAACAGGGATTCAAAACTCCCATGCCAGTTGCTTTCACAGACGCAGTGAGACTCACCAAGAGCACTAAGCATACATATTTATAGAGCATAGTTTATCGTGTCTTTGTGTGAGGCCAAAAGTCTGGTGCTTCAGGCAGAGAAGCTTCTGTATTTCAGCACCAAAATTCTGGGATGTAGGAAGTCCATTCTGCCCAGCTGATAGATTACCATTTTTTTCTATCCTTTCAAACCCTGTACTGAACTACAGGGAATCTGAAGTAAGAAGTAATCACAGAGCTGGAGAACTGTGAAGAAAACCAACACAAACCAAACAGTATTAGATTTACAGCTGGTGAAAAATGATCCTTACCAAATTCAGCACATTATTTCTATGAGAATAGGCCCAAAATTTTGTACATGTTCTTCTGCTGAAGGATCCCTTCTCCAAGATAGTAGTTTTTCTCTTCTCCTAGAGAACTAGAATAATATTCAGAAAGCTCCTCTCTGATTGGAAATGTATCTTCAGTGTCTCAGGGCTTGTCCTGTTGCTGAAACAATAGAGGCTGGATACAGAAGGAGCAGGTTTTGCATCAAATTTTCGCACCTAGCTAGGGCTCTACCAGAGCTATTTGTCCTTATTTTGACAGGTTGACTGCAGTAGGTACCCAACACAAGTCACTAAAGATGGCAAAGTATTAGTATCCTGTCCAAGGATCCTGAATCCAGTTTGCGGCACAGATGGCAACACATATGATAACGAATGTGGGATCTGTGCCCACAATGGGTAAGTGCCATACGTAGAGTGCTCCTTCTGAGTAGCCGGGAATGTTGTGCGGTCCTGAGAGCCATCCTGCTGCATTTCCCCTTATGCCTATTTTTTTCAATTCTCTTAGAACTGGATTGGTTTTAGATTGACCTTGAGTTTCCTTCTGATGCCTTCTTTGTGCTCATGGGAAAACCTTGAAGAGTCATGAGGCAGCTCCTTGGATGAGTCTGTGGGATGGGCAGGGACTGGGCAGAGGAAGAAACAATTCAGAATATTGCTTTAAATTGCATGTTATGAGAAGATGGGATGAGCTTGTTAATGAGTGAAGTAGCTATTCTTATATACTTTTATAGTCTGAAGCCATGGTTTGTTCCATTTTGCACATGACTGTGACCAAGAGGTTAAGCATTTAGTTCCTCAATTTTATTGTTTCCCTCTTCCAGAGAACAAAGAACCCATGTTGGCAAAAAGCATGGTGGAAAATGCAGACAGGAGACTTCTGAAGTAAGTGTTCAATATAAGGCTTACTTCTCTTAGCTGCATCAACTGAAAGGTTCCCTGAGGTGACATCTACTCCAAAAGTGAGCTGGCCTGAAGCCTGTCTTTCCCACATGTCTATTAAGTCTTGTCAGCTCCTTGTGTTGAGGATGCCTACAAATCCCATCTGTCCTGAGGCAGGTGTCCTCTGGGCCCTCCTTCCCTGCACAGCCCTGGCAGATGGGCTGCTTGGGAGCTAGGCACAGAGTTTTCATTATGAATTCACACCTACACCAGCCTTTAGGGTGGGGATGTATTCTGGAATATGGAGCACACCTGAAGTTTTGATCTGAGGGTATCAGCTGGGAAGCCCCTGAGCTGGTGTCTGGGACATGCCAACTCACAAATGTGGAAGTTGGTCAGTTTGGGCATTGCTCTTCAAATGCAAAATCCAAGTTCCTTCACCATTTTGGTGTTTCATTTATACTGCACAATTAAAAGGGGGCTATGTTTTTCTCTTTTCCTTGCTTTTCTGACATATCTTGCATTTGGGATTGACCAAACCAATTACCCCAGTGATTTGGCATCTCACAAACTATGCAGTGCTGTGCAGTTCCCTCAGTGCATGAGAGGATTCATGCAGAACTGACTCAATCTGGTTTTGCAAGAACTGAGTCATAGCACTAGTGTCTCCTTGCATCCCAGCATAAAAGATATGGCAGGAGGGCTTTTTTTTTTGTGTGTTGGAAAACAACGTCTACATCAGGTTTGACACTTCTCCTTTTTGTAGATTGATTGCAGTCAATACCCAGCAAAAACAGTTAAGGGTGGCAAGTCCCTGGTTCGCTGCCCAAGGATGCTGCTCCCAGTCTGTGGCACAGACGGATTTACTTATGACAACGAATGTGGCATCTGTGCCCATAATGTGTAAGTACTGGATATAGGGCTCTCTTTTGGAGTGACTAGACAGGGTTAGTGCTTCAGATGGCTTTTCTTTTGGCACCAGCATAGCTACATGTCTCTTTCTGTTTCTCTTTCAAACTCCTGAAGTTTTCTTTTGGCACCAGCATAGCTACATGTTTCTTTCTGTTTCTCTTTCAAAATCCTGAAGTCCCTGTCACCTTGATTTTGTTCTCTGATGCTCTCTTTTCACTCCTCAGGGAAGCTGTGGGAGAGTTCTC